TAATTTATTTTTCTCTGCCTTGCATGGCTTGCAGCATGTAGTTTTTATTTATTTTTCATTTTTAGTATGCATGCATTGCTTTGCATGTCTTGTAATGATTGAGCTCCTGCATGTGTTTTCAGCCTTAATCTTGTTAGTCAAGAGTGCAAGAAGAAGTTTGGCATGTTTCTTTTTATTATTTATGATTAGTTTGACGTAGCCTATTGTTTGTTTGTAACTGAATGGCAAATAAAATCATTTGAATCATGGAGATGCATGGCGTCAAATACGCAACCATCGCTGACGGAGACAGCAGCGTACTGCAGAAGATCAATAAGGTGCGACCTTATGACACCAGGGTTTCCAAAATATGGTGTAGGAGCCATCTTCTGAGAAATTATTCTAACAAAATAAAAGAAATATCCAAAACTCCTCTGCGGAATACAGATCTCGACATAGGCTCGTATTGCAGGCTGAAGATACAGTTGGGGACATCTACAATGAGGTTGAGGGCAGCGGTAACTAAAAAAATTACACACAGGAAAATGGAACTGGAGATCTTTCTTCTAAGGCCCAGTTGCTTCTCCGACACCTTTTGAATGGATCCATGCCATGTTTTCGGAGACCACAACCGATGTGACGCAACGGAAAGAAAAATGGAACGTGGTGCCGGAATGAAGAAGTTTGGGATCTACCAGCAAATTATGGTAGCTGTTCAACACCTTGCTGACAGAAGTAGGGACCTAACGTATGACTTCGACTGCAACATCGCGGAGCACTACAACGCTGCTGTAGCTCGCCTCATAGGAGGAAAACGAGTAAACTTTTGCCTCAAACAATCATACCAGGCAAGATGTGCCACCGCTGTCGAGTCCTTCAACTCAAGAGTCACACTACAGACTACACAAAACTATGTATAGCAGCCCATGGAAATTTAGCAAGATGTTTGAGGAAAGAAGATTCCATAAAATCAGGCTAGATTGCGCAGGCTTCAAAAACCCAACTCAAGAGACGACTCCTGTCTGTCGATAAAATCTATAAAAATCGTATGAGCCACTATGAAACAAACCCGATGTAGATGCCGAGGTCTACGCGCAGAAGTCAGGTCGAACAGAAGACTCGTGAACAAAGTGGGAGTGACCTCTGGATGGAGAAGAGAAGAATAAGGATCACAACTTCCAGCTTCGGCCTGATTTGCAATAGAAACCCATACTCCAACTCGGTTCCTGTTGTAAATTCACTCCTATACTCCTTCAAAAAAGGCTGTGCTGCTACAGCCTATGGCCGTGAGAACGAGACTAAGGCTAATCAACAACTTGCTGAACACCTTGGAGCACAAGTAAAAAATGTGACCTGTTTATTGACGAGGACCTGCCGTTTTAAACTACAACACCTGACGGATTAATATGAAAGGACACCATTGTTGAGGTGAAATGTCCATATTCTGGTAAAAATCTTACTCCTAAAGAAGTAATTCAACAAAAGAGTGGAGTAGTGGGTACTCTATTTCTGATGATAAATCAGGCGTCATTGAAATGAAGAAACGACATTTATACCATTTTCAAATCCAGGGGCAGTTACACATCACAAAAAGAAAGTATAGCGTGCTGTGGACACCGCTTGGAACAAAATTGACGACAATTCACAAAGACGACAACTTTTGGGAAACCGAAATGGTCAACAAACTGACCGTCTTTTATAAAAGTTGTTTGTTGCCAGAACTTTTAGACCCACGAAGGCGCAGGAGCATGCCTCTGCGAGAGCCAGTTCACATAGAAGAAGCTCAGAAGATAAGAATGAATTCCAAAAAATAAAAGGAAAATCTGGCACAACCATTAAATTGAATAACACAATCATTGGTTAATGCATTTGGTAATTGCTTGTAGTGCATATATGTGATAGTTGATATCAAAGCTTATTTATACGATGTTGCGGTTTGGTTTATTTCAATACTAATTTTCAAAGTTTATTATTGCGGTTTACTATTTTATTTAATTATTTTTGTCTATACTCTTACTAAGTAACACATCCCCTGTTGTTGAAGTCCTGTCGCAGTTTCGCTTTTTTAAGTATGGACGTTATTTTTTGTTGTCTGCCATGAAAGCCACATTGATAAATAGTCCTACAGGCAAAAGACCAGCAATGAGGTCCTAATTAGAATTCTATAACTAAATCCGCAGGGTTTTAGGGAACTAAATTGAGGAGGAATTCTACGGACAGAACCTACTGAAGCTTGTGTTCAGGCCAATAAGGTTTACTATTACTACTACTATGCTATGAGTAGTCTTTTAAACAAACGAGAAAAGAACTTTGATTAGAGTTTGAAAAACAAATACAATTTAAAACGTGAAAATACTTTTTTGTGCAAAATATATTTCCTATGTGTATTTCAATATACTATATTTTGTATTTGAATAAAGTTGACGAATCTATTGATGGTAACATTCTTGAAAGGGTATCACTTGACCACATCTTTGTTGAGCTGTTGATGTAAAGGTATATGACCTTAAATAGTCTAAATTAAGTGTAAGCCTTAAATCGAAATATACAACTGATACAAGTGTTACCTTATAAGGAATTTCTCCTAAAGTACATGAGGTCCTTCAGGTACAAAAAAATATTCGAATAGTGTGTAATTTTGATTAAGTAGCTCAGTTTAAACCCCGTTTTATCGATTACAATTTTTTGACAAGAATTAAATTAAATATTTATTAATTATTCTTAATACTTTTAGGAATATCTAAAAATTCAGAAATGAAGTCTAGTATTAGTAATTAGAACTGAAAAAAGTTGATCTGCCTCAGGTCCGATTCGGAAAAGCAAGATCAGGGCATGTTGTTATAAGAGTCAGCCTCTTCAACAAATTACCATTGGCTGTGACAAATTTAGATTTTATTAATTTTAAGAAAAGAATGTTTGTATTTTTAGTAAAGAACCCGCTCTATCGCATCGATGATTTTTTTAGCATATCAAATAAGATTATGAAAACTAATTGATAATTGGATGCCAAATGTGATTTATATACTGTATAATAAGCATGAATTTTAATTTATTGGAAAAAATGATCAGGGCATGTTGTTATAGGAGTCAGGCTCTTCAACAAATTACCATTGGCTGTGACAAATTTAGATTTTAATAATTTTAAGAAAAGAATGTTTGTATTTTTAGTAAAGAACCCGCTCTATCGCATCGATGATTTTTTTTAGCATGTAAGATAAGACAAATTGAAAATAGGATGTCAAATGTTATTTTGATATAAGGAGCATGGACTTTAATTTATTACTGTCAAGTTTGCATATATCTCTCTTCATGGGGTATAATTTGTTTAATTATTATTTATATTTATTTACTCGTCGCTCAATATTTTATTTTGTTCTTTTAATGCCTGAATTTACTCCTTGAGATATATATTTACCTCAAGACTGAATACAAGATGTGTTAACTAAACTGGTAAAATACCTGTCTAAGCATGAATGTAAAAGTAACAAATAAATATCTTGTAAAGAGGATTTTTGATTTGGATTCAAGATACTTCCTTAAAAGATCAACGTAATAAGTAAATACAAAGAACCAACGTAAACACACACAAGGTTTAAATGACATTTGAATGTACAAAGACTATACATAATTAAAAAAATAGAACAGAAAATAATTTACTAATGAGAAAAAAGATACAGTATTTTAAAAAAATATACCATTTTGGAATCGTATACAAATTTCTTATTTACGAATTATAGCATACAGCAGTTTAGTTATGCAAAATTGTATTTAAGATGGGTGTCTTTTCTTTACCGACCCCTTTTTTTGTATGTAAAAAAAATTCATAGGCATTTTTAGTCATTAACCTTTAAAATTTTTGGGGAGCAATTCAAGTTTTTATTCAAATTCACATCATGGTGTCAGCCACTACAAAGGTTTTATTTAAGTGTTCTTTAAAGATTGTTGTCATATACAAAACTATTAAATATTTCTTTCACTACCACAACTAATTTCTTTGATCTAATATTTTTAATTAAATACTTTGGTGAATAATTTTTAACCTAATGCTTTTTACCAATCACAAAAATGCAACCTAAAACACAAGGTTCATAAGGTATGTATATGTTTTAAGGTATTTTACATCTTACCTTTTACATTTTCCAACAACTGTAGCGGGTTTGAGTTATAAACAGTCAGGTAATCAAAATATATGTATTTTAAAATTAAAACCCGATGTTTTTTACTTAAATAATTTACTTACACCACAATAATTCGGTCACAATATTTAGGCAGTTTTAGGGGAAGAAATCTATCTCCTCCACTTAACAGATAATTGAGCAATATAAATTAAATACAAATACAAGTGGTGAGAAACTTCCCACCAAACCACTTAAATATAGTCAAAAATAAATATGTATATATATTAAAAAAGAATTTTACATACTTTTATAACACTCACACTGTGATCATGGCCTTAGTGCCGAAATACGTATCAGTTAAAATAAAAATGAATATCAGGATACTCTGGTTTTTATTATTTCAATTATGTATTAAAAATGTAGCCCTAACAAGTGAAAAGAACTATCAATATATATATATATATATATATATATATATATATATATATATATATATATATATATATATACTTCTACTCCTTATACTTCTACTTTTATTACTATATATAGTATATAGTATTTTCCTAAATAATTTTAGTACTCTATTATTGTTCATAGATCTCAACCTTGTACTATTTTCCCGTTCAAAATATGACACACAATAATATAAATTTAAATTTTTCCAAACCTGTGACAAATTGTGTAAGGAAACACGTAAATAAAGTACTTATGCAATATGAATTCATATAAAAATATTTGTGCCACAATATTTAGACCAAACACATTTAAGAAAAAGCTTGTGAATAATTTTCAACCTTGAACTGTTTAAATAACAAATAATGCGTAAAAAGGTACTTTTCAACCATCTGCAATTCGTGTAAAACGGACTAAACTTAGGACAAGGGATATTTAGTGTTTACCTACCTGGTGTAGGAACTGCCGACAGGTTGTCAGGGAGGGACCCGACTCCCATGCTGCGATGACCGGCCCTCGCACAACACTGGTTGTACTACGGCACTGTACGACGCCTCCCCACCCCCGGGCGCCGCGACGCATCGATCCCACGGCACAACAGGTATCTAGTTGCCCCCACAACAGGTGGCACCTCCCCTTACCACGGCCTAGCCTGAGTAAGCTGTACAGGTCACGACACGTGCCCAGCCTGGGACTCAGCTTTACAAGATACAAACATAACAGGTGGCACCTCCCCTTACCACGGCCTAGCCTGAGTAAGCTGTACAGGTCACGACACGTGCCCAGCCTGGGACACGGCTTTACCAGGAACAACTATAACAGCTGGCACTTCCCCTTACCACGGCCTAGCTTGAGTAAGCTGTACAGGTCACGACACGTGCCCAGCCTGGGACACAGCTATACCAGGAACAACTATAACAGCTGGCACATCCCTTTACAACGGCCTAGCCTGAATAAGCTGTTAATTCAGTTTTACATAAACAATCGTATTCGTAGTTAGTTTTTTAAGCTTAAGATTAATGCTAATTGTTCACCGAAAATAAATTTTACACCTTAAAAGGAAATCCAGCAACACGATCAACAAACAAGTTTTTTTTACAAACTTACAACGACAACTCATGGTTAACCTCTCTTTTATCCAATAAATCCAATCCCTTTGTTTCATAAATTGCACTATTTCGAAGACAAACGTATAGATAACGATCTGCGTTGATGAAGCTGTGGAAATGAACGTTGAAAACAAGAGCTTTACTGAAGGCCAAAGATTTAATATCCACTGAAACTGTGCCAAGCCTGCAGGAACGCAGTTTCTACTCTTTAATGGTTATTTATATATTTTTTAAAGCTGTTATTTATTTTAAGCAATACCTCAAATATTTAACGGTTTATTTTTTCTTAGCAAATATTTTATATACCCAGTGAGCACATAAGGTGAAAAAACGTTTCTTTCACGTGGACAATATAAATAAAAGGTGGAAGTAAATAATTTAAAAACATTATTATCAGGTGATAATGTAACAATGAAAACCTTCTGAAGCTAAAATTATTTTCACGTAAAAAAAGAAAACGTGAAAAAGTATTTAAATTAAAAAGTTATATTTACGTGTTACGTTAAACGATTTTAATTGTTTGTCAACAATTTTGCTGGTAACTGTTTAGCGTCAACTTTAACAAAATCTATATATTTAATTCCGTAAGGGAATCGGTCCTCACAAAATATCTCGAGCCTGGGAAAAGTAGCATAGCTGTTGAGAATTCATTTTAAATCGTAAGATCCAAGGACTATGGGAAAAATATTAGAAGTCTCAGAAATTACCTCTGCTCTGCCCCACAGGCCATCAAAGATCCATTAATTTGAAAATGTACTGCTACAATGGGTCTATAAGCTGTTTTAAAAATACCAGTTAATGCGATCTTTACGTAGTTGTTTGTTTATTGGTGTTGGTGTTCTTTTTTTAGGTTAGAATCGTAATGCAGTGTGAAATGTATCGTGTTAGGGGAAGACCCTGACTACGAAGGAGAGTATTTAGGAATAATGCACATCCTAGGGAATGGTTATATTCCTAAGTAGCAAAAGTTTATTGAGTAATAATTATATAATTATTATTTAACAAAGTAGTAAGTTTATAAAAAGTTACAATTATTAAAAAAACGATTAATTAATAACTAAATAATTGTTGTGACATTTAACTATTATTAATTTGTAATTAATCTGTTTTTATTGTTTAGACAATATTGCTAAAACATTTTTTTGCAGAATAATAAAATAAAGTATTTTTAAATAATTTATTTTTGGTCATATAATAGTTATTAAACAAATTATTAACTATTTTAAGATAATTAAATTTTAATCCTTCTAACAGAAAATAATTATTTTATTATTATTCTTTAAATAGTTTAAACATATTAATTTGTTACTTATTTAAGATTAATTTGGTGACAGTTATTTAAGTCCTTAATTAATTAATTATTAATAATTTAATATCGTATACAACAGAATTTCGCGCATGCGCAAAGCATTGTGGGACTAGCGTCTAGCGTCACTTTCCCCTTGTTTGTTTTGTTTAGCGCCGCGCCATTTTGATTTTGACTATTGAGGAATAAATAAATAGTTCAATTGATTGGATTCTCAATCTGATTGTTTGGGAGTTTGCAGTGTTTGCACTTTGCTGTGTTGGAAGGTTGTGTTTTTAATAATTCTATTTGTTTTTCATCAAGATTACTTGGTAAGTTTTTAGTTAAACTAAGTTAAGTGTGCATATTATCTTGACTCAAAATAAAAATTATGTTACTTGCATAGGCCTAGTGCTACTGCTACAAGTTGGACAAGACATTTTATAATAGCACGTAACTTCCTATACCAAGTTCCTAAAAACGATACCCATAAGTTATTTTAAGTGTATTTAAGTTACTTTTAAGCTGGTCCTAACCATAGGTTAAAATAAATCCTTTTTAGGTACTGAAATGAAATGAAGTCAGAAGTTAAAATTAGGCTACCGTAAGCTTAAAGTTGGGTCAATTCCATTCTCCGAACCAACCAATAACTTATGTAGGCCTCCTAAGTTAAGTTATTGTAAGCCTAGGCCTAGGCTTAGCTTGGAAATTAAATATCATTAATATTTTGGGGCCTAGGCCTACATGTTATTTTATATCCTAATGGGTTCCTTTTAAAACTATTTTGAAGCAGTTAAAGTAAGCAATCTAAGACTGTGCAATAAATGATCTAAATTGAAATTAGGCCTAGCCTAAGGACCTTTTGCTGGCTGCTTTAAAAACCCCCTTGTAAGTTAGGCCTATTACATCGTAGGGCCTAGACCTAACTTATTTTAGGCAGAGGATACGCGTCCGGTAACCGAACTTGGATTAGGTGTCTGGCAGTTGCTGTCATAGCCTAACCTAACTAAACAAACTTGCTGATAATGAAAAAATCTATTAACGGATAAGTTCTGTTCATAAAATAAAATTATAACTTAAATAAGTTAGGCCTATTTTAAGTTTACCTAAATTTCTAAGCAAAATCTTTGATAAAAATAATGTCACCAATGGGATTTGATCTAGATAACTTAAGTTACCTCTTGTAGGCTACATCAGCCGTGCACTATCCATTACACCACGAACACTGATGGCTAACTTAAACATCGTATTGTTGTGGTAATGGTGTTACGGGCCCCCACATTCCGGTGACGTCACTGCCGGGCGCCTATCTTAATGCACGTTCGGTTACGTTCGGATCCTCTGCGTAGGCATATATTTTAAGCCTAGGCTCATAACAAAAAGTCTGCGTTAAGCTATTTTAGAAGACAGATTTGCGGTAACTTAGGCCTAGGATGCTAAATCAAGTAACAGGAAGAATTGGTAGGCCTAAGTTACCGGTACCGTAGCCTATGTTAAGTCTTGTTAAAAAAAATCGTTTAACTTAGGGCCTAAGTTAAGTTAACATGTAGGCCTACCTGAACATGTAGGCCGGTGGCTCATCGCTACATTTTTGAGATTCTTGACAGATCTCTGCGAGACCTGATCAGAGCCGCACAGCTCATAGTTTTTGATGAGACGCCGATGGCTCATCGCTACATTTTTGAGATTCTTGACAGATCTCTGCGAGACCTGATCAGAGCCGCACAGCTCATAGTTTTTGATGAGACGCCGATGGCTCATCGCTACATTTTTGAGATTCTTGACAGATCTCTGCGAGACCTGATCAGAGCCGCACAGCTCATAGTTTTTGATGAGGCGCCGATGGCTCATCGCTACATTTTTGAGATTCTTGACAGATCTCTGCGAGACCTCATGAATTTGCCAGAAACAATCCTTTGTAGGTCTAAACAAGTCCTAAAACTGGTTCTATGTTTATAGAAGGAAGAGTTGAAATTGCGTTAAAACCGTAATCGACCATGCTTATGCAGGTGCAAACAAGGATGTACAAAAAAAATTTGCCGATGTCAGAAATGGCGAAGATTGTGTACAGAAAACTGTTTCTGTGATGTCAGCACGTGAAAAAGCAAGGTAAACCCTAGGCCTACAGACATAAGTTGATTTTTTATTTGAATTTATGCAATACAGGTAAACCTATTTGAATCTACGATAAGTATAAATTTTACTTTACTATTCAGATCTTTCTGAAACAGCTATGTAAGGATTAATGAACTAAATAAAATTGTGTTTTATAATTGATAGGTCTAAACATTGCGGTGAAATGCAGTAGTATGAGTGCTAATAAAGATACCTGGGCCCAACCTCGGCGACGGCACAGGATACTGGAGCTTGACTAACGGATCTCAGCGAGCAGAACTGATCAGAGCAGAACTGATCAGAGCAGAACTGATCAGAGCAGAACTAATCAGAGCCGCACAGTTCATAACTTTTGATGAGGCGCCGATGGCTCATCGCTACATTTTTGAGATTCTTGACAGATCTCTGCGAGACCTCATGAATTCACCTGAACCATTCTTTGTAGGTCTAAACAAGTCCTAAAACTGGTTCTATGTTTATAGAAGGAAGAGTTGAAATTGCGCCAAAACCGTAATCGACCATGCTTATGCAGGTGCAAACGAGACTGTACAAAAAAAATTTGCCGATGTCAGAAATGGCGAAGATTGTGTACAGAAAACTGTTTCTGTGATGTCAGCACGTGCAAAAACAAGGTAAACCCTACCTTGTGAAAATTGTCGATATGGAAAGTAGGGTCTGCTAGGCCTAGTTCTATAAATCTCATTTGTCCCCTTATGGAACCTTTCCAGTATCCATTACTTTATCCGGATGACACTTTGGGATGGCATATAGGTCGTCTTTATAACTTTCATCACAAGCTATCTCAGTACAACTACTCTCGTTGTCTTTTGTTGTCCGATCTACGCTTTGCTCACTTAGGCCGACTGTCTCAAGCCTGGCAGGTAAAGATGTACGCCAGGTACGAGGAGGAGAAATTAAACTTCATTAAATACAAACAAACCCTGTCCAATGAAAATGCCATTCGGACAGGGTCATTGGACAAACTGGAGACAGCTTTGCGTGTTGATAATCACACTTCAGGACAGGTTTTGAAAGATATTGTCAACGATGAAACGATACAAGGGGAGGGCAGTTTATCGTATCCAATAAAAAATCGTATCATCCAATAAAAAATCACTTTGTTTCATAAATTGCACTATTTCGAAGACAAACGTATAGATAACGATCTGC